ATTAGGGGAAGGGTTGTTCAGGTTGGTACTGACATACTTCCTCAGGTAGCCCTTTTGGATCAGGTCCTCAATTTCCACATGTAGGGCGTGGCAATCCTTCGTGAGGTGCCCATTCCGTTGGTGGTATCTGCAGTAGGAGCTTGGGGTAGGTCCCATCACGGGCCTTGTGTCAGTAGGTGGAGGAATGGCGTTGTGTTCCAAATGGAAAACACCGGCTATAGACATGACCAGGGGGGTGAAGCGCGTAGTCCTTCGATGAGGTGCTGCAGCCGCTGGTGTGGGTCCCAGTCGTTCGGCCAGTCTTGAAGTGGGAGGTTGCGGGGCCGTTCGGTCCCTTATCCTGATTTCTTCTTCCAGGGCCGCATAATTCCTGGCCCTTTCCAGGATGTCTGGGTAGCTGGTCCCTGGATTTCTCTTCAGCTCCCTGTATAAATCTCCCGTCTGAAGGGCATCGGTGAAAAGAAGGATGGCAGTCTCATCCGTCATGCCGGTCACCTTCAGGGTTTCGGTCCTCCACCTGGTGAGGAATCCGGAGATTGATTCTTTAGGCCCTTGCCTCACACTGGTTAGATATCCGAAATGTAATTTCGGGGTTGTGCTGGAGGCGAACTGGGCCAAGAACAAGGTGGATAGCTCCGCAAAGCTCCCGATCGACCCGGGTTGTAACGTTCCGAACCATTCCTGGGCTGGTCCCCGAAGGGTACTGAAGAACAGCCTGCATATTGCCGCGTCGGTGGCCCCCAATAGCATGAGGCCACCCTGGTAACTCCTCAGGTGTACGTGGGGATCTCCCACCCCATCGTATGCTAGGCCGGTCGAGGGACGGCAGTCTTTCAGAATTTCGGCGTTCATGATTTCCCTAGTAAAGGGAGAGGTGATCCCAACCCGTGCTGGCGGGGTTTGTTGGGGCGCCCGATTGACCTGTTCTCTGAGCTCAGTCATTTGTCTCCTCATTTCGGCCATTTCGTCGTTTTGGGCCATTCGGGGAGTGGGTGGTATTCTAGCATCCGCATATTCCGGTATTCTGTTCTGGGGAGGAGCAGCTATGTTAGCCCTCCTCCGGATGAAGCGTTCCCCATCCCTCTGGATATACTGGAAGTTTTGTCCAACGGGATCTACCATGGGGGTAGGTTCCCTGTATCCGTTTCGAGGGGCGGACGGGGTTCGGCTGGTTGGTGCTCCTCGTCTGGGGGTATGGGCCCTCCAGTGGTTCCTGCGGCGTTCCTCGGAATGAACTGAGGCCATCGTAGTCTCGATGTCCTCCTCTTCGTCAAAAGATGGCATGGGACGCAATGGGGTCTATGGGGATGGTGGCTCATGAGTTTCATCGGTGTAGCCCTGTTCCTGTTCGTCCGCCATGCGTTGCATGGCCTCCGCCATCTCCCTCATCAACTGAGGGTTCATCCTTACATCCCGGGGGATGATCTGCTCGAACTCCCGAGTGGCACTGCCACTGGCGTGTCCTTGCCTGGACCACCCTTCAGAGGATCTATTGCCTCCTCGGCCTCTGGATGCAGAACTCGGTGTCGCGGTAGTAAGTCTAGCCATCTTTAAGAAAAAATGGTGCCTAGTGTGGACTCGGCTTTGTCTGGACTTTTAGTGTGGTTTCCCACAGACGGCGCCAATGTTGAGGTTTATTCCCGAAGATCCGAAAGCCCAACACAAGCCTTGGATATTGTAGGGATCTGGGGTAGGGTTGAAAATGTGTATAAAATATAAAATAGTGAAATAATATCCAACTCAAGAACTTACTTATATTCTGTAATTAAGCAATTACACTGAAACTACCCGAACGGTAGATGAATATGAGATTACAAGGATGGGAGATGTAAATCTATTGCTAAGCTCTGAGTATTAAAATGCTAACCCTTTACAATGATCTAAACATGGGTATTTATACTAAAATAGAAATGGATGAGGTGGACACGTGGTCAAATCCGGTAGGCTGTCACTTCTGCCATGTATACACCCATGCCTCCACTTGCTGTCGTCATGATCCAGCATTAAATGCGGCCTCCACTTGACGATTGCTCGTTCGGGCAGGGTGTTCGGTGTGTGGGACCCCGCCATAGGTGTTATCCTGCTTAGGAACATATCCCGAACGCCGATCGGTATATCCGCCATAGGTGATCTAGTTAATGGAAGTGTCCCGAACGCCGATCGATACCTGGCCTTGATGATTTGGCATAATTGTTTCCCGGAATGTTCCAAGTATAAATTTTATCCCGAATGCCGTTCGAGAGTTCTTTTGGACTGCCTTGGGTCCGCTGCTTCTTCCTGGATTTGGGCCTAGGGATATTGGGCCTGGACCCAATATCCCAACAATGCTATAAATGTAATATTTTTAAAACCTGATAGACTAAATTTTCATTTAATATTGTTAATTGCTTCCTAAAATTGAAATGACAATTTTTATACGAGACATCAAAAAGAAAAGCGAAAACTTTTATACGAGACATATGAAGTATTAAGATGTTTTTGCTTGGACGAAAATTTTCTGGTCTGGTCTAATCTAATTTGGTCTGAACTGGTCTGAAATACGTATGTACTCTGTGTATGATATAATTGTTCAAGTCTAGGTTGATCTGATCTAATTGGAACTGAAAACAATTGAAGTGAAAATATCCTCCTTGTTACTCTTTTTAATTATTTTGAGTCTATTTGGGAGCCCGTATATCTTACAACCGGTTGTATGATGTGCACCGTACAGCCCGGTAAACTTGTAATTCCTATCAACTTCATCCCCTTTAATTTGCTCTTAACCTCCATCCACAATTAATTTTTTTCTTTTCCGTTTCACCGCTGCTTTGGCGGCAATTTGCATGGCCTATAATTCCTAATTCCTCTTGCTCTTATTCTTCCGTTTGATTTATGCGTTTGTCTTTTTCATTTTTCCATTAGCAAACAAGATTTGCTTCCATGCTTCTTTCTTTCTCTTATAATTAGATTTCATTGCTTTCCTGCTTTTTTTCCTTCTTTTTTTGCTTTAACAACTTTTACTTTTTCCAATCAACCTTTTAACTTAATTTTTTTAAAATTTGTGCATTTTAAAACATTTTAGTCATTAATTTTAATTTCTATTTTTTAAATTGTAAGATGAATATTTATTAATTTCTTATTTATTGTGTTTTAATTACTATTATGAGTTTTGTGTTATATTAAAATGAGTATAATGTAAAATAATTCTGCATGAGTAGATATTATAAGAAGAAGATGATTATATTTTTAATTCAAGAAAGAAAGACTATAAAATATTTTTTAATATAAAATTATTATATATATCTCATTGTTATATATAATGATGATTTAGTATATTGTTAATTATGTATCTACTACATGTACATGTTATAGAAACGAATAATATAACGATTAAAAGAAATAAATATACACAGATGAATATTTTCGATGTTCATTTTGTAAGTTACGTATGTTCATTTTGTAAGTTATGTATGCTCATCTGGTATTGGTATGAGCATAAGACTTATTATGTTGAGTATTATGAGGCTAATATTGAGCATCTTGATCTTTGCATTATATTTTCTAATTCCCTTTGTTTTTCTTATTTTGTTTATTATAAAAAACTAAATTATAACTATAACCAACTCTTAATATTTTAATCTAATGTAATATAATACTTTTGAAAACAACATTGATATTACATTTTAAAATGAGTATAACATCAGTACCAAATGAGCATACATACCTTACAAAATGGGCATTGATATGAAAATAATAAACTCTATTAGTTGAACATCAAAACATTTCATTTAACATCAAACCTTCTGTATTGAGTATTAGAAGTCTAACGATGAGCATCAAACCTCCTATATTGAAATGAAAATAATGGTTTTTGTTAAATGAGCATGAATGAACTTTTAATTAGCACTAGACATATTCTTTTGAGTATTAGGACTCTATTATTGAGCATAGTAATCTCTGCTTCATATCTTATAATTCACTTTCTTTTTTTCCTTTTATACAAACTTATTAAATTATATCTACAATCAATTCCTATGAAGTTCAATATGTGAATCTAATGTATAAGATACTTTTGAAATAAGCATTTATATGACATTTAAAAATGAGCATAACATCAATACCAATTGAGCATATGTAGCTTACAAAATAAGAGAATTAATATGAAAATAATCAACTTTGTTAGTTGATCATCAAGACACTTTTTCATGAGCATTAAACATCCTCTGAATATTAGAAACGTGCAATTGAGTACCGATTGAGCATTCCTAAATTATCAAATGAGCATTAGTGTGAAAATCATAAGCTTTTTTAGTTGAGTGAGCATCAAGACATTTTCATCGAGTATCAAGCATCCTCTATTGAGTATTAAAAACATGCAATCGAGTATCATGGTCCATTCTCTCGTATCTATAATTTAAAAAGTGAGAATATAATAACTTTAAACTAAAAATAATTTATAGTATTTTGTTCTTCAATTACAAATAAATATTGTGTTGTTTTTATGATATTTACTCATACACATTTATTTTACACTATACTCATTGTAGTATAACACAAAACTCATGTTAGTAATTAACACATAATACTTAATGAAATTAGAAATATTCCTCTTAAAATTAAAAATAGAAGAACAAAACATTGATGCCTAAAATCTTTTATAATGAAGAAATTTGAGATTATACTGAATAATAATTGAATAAAAATTAAAGCATGTTTAAGAAAAAATAAACGAAAAGAAAGAACTAAAAACGGAAAACAACAAAAATAAAGAAAACTGAAAAGCAAAATAAAGTGAAAAGCAAGATACGAACGTGAAAACTGAAAAGTAACGAAAAGAAAATACAGAGAAAAGGAGAAGAGCCGTAGCAGCCATCAGCGAAAAACTAAGTGCAGCGGAGGAAAAGAAAAGCAACAACAGCCATTAACCTACCTTTTACCCCTATAACTTCGATTTAATTACATAAAAACCCGGCTGTACGATATATATTGCGGTCTATTTGGCTAGACTTTGAATATGTGAATTTTATTTGGAAGAGCGAAGGGGTGGGATCGGCCTGTCCGAGGAGCAAGTTGCCGTTTTTGTGGACCTGGGCGCCTGTTTGTCAAGAAGAAGGGGAAATCGGTGGTGCAGTGCACTCTGAGCAACAAGCAATCACCATCTCTTCGGTACCTGCAACTCCCAGGCCGTGCGGAGAGATTAGGCATGCTATTTCCTCTTTCTTTATGTGTGTATGTATAGTAGGGCTAAATTGAGTAAAAAAAAGTAGGGTTTCACCGGTTAAGTCTGTAATCGCAGGGCGGAGTTCTCATGGAGACAACGCTGCTCTCCAAGCCTACGCTTTCCGCTTCGTTCATTGGCCAGAAACTGTAAGTCAGTACCATTTCACTATTTCAATAAGTTGGTTGTTACTAGGTTTCCGTTCTAATTTCCTTAACTCGCAGGTGGAATAGAAGAAATTCGAAGAGTTCTTCCGTGTATCGATGGAATCTCTCCAAGAGGCCCCCTTTGCCGAGTGCATTGAGCTTAATGGTCCCGAGGTGTGCAATGGATACAGCGTTTGGGGGTATCAACCTTCTACCTGCTTCTCAAAAGTGTTTATTCCTCTACATATCCTGGAATTATAATATCTCACTTATTTTTTCTATAATATAGCCTGAAGTAAGTTCTATATTAATTTGACTAGTTCACCATTACAAATATAAGAAGGAAACAGATAATGGATTGAAATTACATAGGATGTTTGAGTTTGTGATTTGGTGCAACAATGCTTGCTTTTTAGGACTACTTTCTGATAATTGTTCAGTTGAAATGACAGTGTGATTCAATTAGGGGGCGGCACAAGGTATCTATTGGTTTTATGTTTGTTGATCAACTCATAGGCCTCTTGGAACATATTTACATAAGTGTACAAGACACGGACGAATTTGGGAACTGTGCATTTTTCGTTTTGCTACACTCTTGTTATATTTTCTTATTTGCAAGCATCACTGGTCAAATACTCAAATTAAAGAAGCTAATCAGAATCAGATTTAAGCATACTATCAGAGTATAATACTTGGACACTAAGTAGCATGGAAACGTGAAACGGGAAACGTGAAATGGGAAACGGGAAACGCGAGAAACGTAATTTCTAAAAAATATAGGACACGAAACGTGGGGGAAACGCGTAAATAGTATAAAATATAAGGATATATTTATAAATATTTTTTAATATATGTACACAAGTTTTTCAATATGCACATGTTTTTTTTAATATAATTTGTTTAGTAACCAAATAATAAAATCACTCTACATGTTCGAATTTAGATATTATTTCATATTAGTACATAATTAAACATAAAATGTACGGAGTAATACATTTCTAGTAATACATTGCGTTATGAAATGTAACAAGTGTTGCCGCTGAGAAATACCACAAAAATTCACTATAAAAAATTATTTTCCACCACAGAATGTTTTGAAAAGGAAAAAAAATTGGAATCCGAGGGTTCAGAAACGTAGTTAAACAGGTTTCCAAATTTTTCTTAATTACGGAAACGGCCCCGAAACGGGAATTTGAAGTTTCCGAGTTTCCGAAACGCTTCCGAGTTTCCGAAACGTGGAAACGTGAGCCATGGAGAGTTTCCGTGCTTCCTAGCTTGGACATGTTCCTTTTGTTAGAGTAACAGTTTTTTTTTTAATAAGCATTTCTTACAATCTTACCTTTCTTTCATAGCCTTGTGCTGTTACTGGAATACTGGAAAGGGAAAAACCAAATGTTAATGTCTCTGTTCTAAAATACCTGTCCATTAACTACAGGCATTTTTGCAAAAAATGACTGACCACTAAGGCATTAAGGCATTTTGTTCACTAATAATGAGTAATTATACATTTTTTTCAAATCAATGAACCATAGTAAAACTGATCAATGGATATTTATCAGAGAATAGCAGGAGTAAATTGTTAGCTGTACGCAAGTCATGATAGTAGGATATATGAATTCGACTAATGTTTATACCACTTCATATTTATAATAACCTCCTCTAGTTGATTTTTAAAGAAGATATAATTGTGAATATTTATGCGCAAATTGTGCATTAACTTGGAAATTTCAGATGCACTCTTAACATTAGGGACTGAACTTTTTGGCCAAAATTTCTGCAGGCAACACTTCGAAGTTTCCCCGGGTGAATATTTGGGATCCATATAAGCGCCTTGGTATAAGCCGTGATGCTTCTGAGGAAGAAGTGTGGAGTTCTCGCAATTTTTTGCTAGATCAGTATGCCGGCCATGAGAGAAGTATGGAAGCCATAGAAGCTGCTTTTGAGAAAATACTGATGACAAGCTTCCAGAATAGAAAGAAGACAAAGATTAACTTGAAGACGAGGCTGAAAAAGCAAGTTGAAGATTCTCCACCATGGGTCAAGAATCTGCTCACTTTTGTGGAAATGCCGTCTGGTGATATTATTTTAAGACGATTATTCTTGTTTGGGTTTATGGCGGTGTGGAGTGTAATGAACTCAGCCGAGGCTGGACCTGCCTTCCAGGTTTGTGAATTTTCAATTAAGCCAATGTCTGTTTCACCTTGACTTGTCAATTTTGTGCTGCAAAACTGGGTTTTCTATTGTGTTATTGAGTTATATACTTCCCCTACCAAAAACATGTGGATTTAGGATACATGATACTCATTATCTAACAATTGATAACACTACTAAATGCTTAGAGATAAAACTAACTGTATTATATGTTGTTCCGTGATAATATTACTTGCAACGGTGCTGTACCTAAACTTTCTTTTGAGTGCACTTGGGGCTCATTTTGGGCATGTCCTGTGTTTGCCTATTATGTGACCAAATAGTGTACTTCAACAACTGCTTAATAAAGTGTCTGTGTTGATGTTCCATATGCAGGTAGCACTATCATTGGGAGCTTGCATATACTTCCTCAATGACAAGACAAAGAGCATAGCTAGAGCTTCCATCATTGGGTGAGTTTTGTCGACTCTTAGAAATTCCATTTTGAAGTTATTTCTGAAACTTCCCTTGATTATAAATACTTAAATAGCACTGTCTAAGAGCCTAATTGTTATTTCAGATTTGGGGCCCTTGTTTTTGGATGGGTTTTTGGTTCTGTATTGGTTCCTGCAATTCCGTCATTTCTGCTCAAACCAACTTGGACACTTGAACTCCTAACATCTCTGGTAGCTTTTGTCTTCCTGTTTATTGCTTGTACTTTCCTCAAGTAACATGTAAAACCATAATTCCAGAATTTGTTAGTTTGCCATTTTATTTAAAGTAGTTATAGGCAAAATTTTATCGACCCAAATTTAGTATCACTACCTTCCTGGATATTGAAGATCTCATTTGTGTCCTTTATGAGTTTATATGTGCTATGTATTAAAGTTTCCATTAGGGGAAATTCTACATCGCACCCCTTTGGTATTTTACATACTATCGCATTCTATTTGATAAAGGGCACCCGATGCACATTTGCACAATTGCACCCTGTGGTAGTGTGGTGCATATTCTACTTTGAAGACGTAAAATTTTCATAATTCTCGAGTTATCCTCTAATATTGTTCGATTTTAATGCGTCCAACAGCAATTATTTTCTCACGAAGTAGAAGCGTAGAACTAGGGGTGGACTGGGCCCGGTCCGGTTTCAGTTTGGGCCTGGATGGTTTTGGGTAAGGCCCGGAACCGGCCTGGGAGTCTACCGGTTCCGGTTCATTTTTTTTTTTGTGTTTTCTTATTTATTTCAACCCCACCCCCCAAACCCCTCGAAAACACCTAGCCCACCTAAACCCAGCCCAAACCCAAAAAAAAAAAAAAAAAAAAGGCCCGAACCGCCCGGACCGGTTTGCCTTTTTCAGGAATCGGAACCGGTTACCCCCTCGGGCCAGGCCTAGGCCCGGAACCGATTTCCTGGGTCGGGCCGGGTACAAACAGTACTGGTCCACCCCTATGTAGAACTACTCGGGCTTTTACACCCATTTGTTTCCGGTAGAATTGTATGAGAAGGCAAAATCATTATGTTTTTGGTGAAATGTGATTTTGGTCCTGTAACTCTGTAAGTTTATGCGTTGGCAAAAGTGCAAAACCATTCTATTTGTTGATATAACTAGATAAAGATACGTTCACTTACTATTGAGCAACAGTGATATAAAACTCTCAAAGATTCACCATTACTAGTAGGGAATTAGGGATGGACCGGGGCAAGTCCGGTTTTGGTTCGGGCCTGGCCGGGCTTGGAAGGTTTTGAGTAAGGCCCGGAACTGGCCCGGGAGTCTACTGGTTCCGGGCCAGGTTGGTTCATTTTTTTTGTTCTCTTATTTATTTCAACCCCAACCCCCCCAAATCCCTCGGAAACACTCAACCCAGCCCACCTAAACCCAGCCCAACCCCCCCCCCCCCCAAAAAAAAGGACCGAACTGATCGAACTGGTTCGCCTTTTTTAGGACCCAGAACCGGTTACCCCCTCGGGTCGGGCCTAGGCCCGGAACCGGAACCAGTTTCCTGAGCCGGGTACAAACAGTACCGGGTCGGGCCCAGTTGGTCATGTAATTTTGGTCCTGTAAGTTTATGCGTTGGCAAAAGTGCAAACCCATTCTATTTGTTGATATAATTAGTAGGGGTGGACCGGTTCCGGTTCGGGCCCGGCTGGGCCTCGGTTCAGGAATGGGAGGCTCGGAACCGGCTCGGGTAATCCCGGGCCGGGCCTCGGTTCTATTTTTTTTTTGGTTTTTCCTAATTAACCCCCAACCTTCCCCCTTCACCCCCAAACCACCCCAAACCACCTCAAATGGCCCAAAATACTCAGCTCAACCCAAAAACTTAAAAGAAATTCAAAAAAAAAAATAATTAATTTGGCCCGAACCGGCCGGGCCGGTTCACCAATCCTAGGGCCCGAGCCCGAACCACATTCCTACCGGGCCGGGCCGACCCGAACCGCCCCCCGGACCGGTTCCCGGGCCGGGCCGATTAAAACAGTAACCAGGCCGGGCCGGGCCGGTTCCGGGCCGGGCCGCCCGGCCCGAGTCCATCCCTAATAATTAGTTAAAGATACGTTGACTTACTATTGAGCAACAGTGATATAAAACTCTCAAAGATTCACCATTACTAGTAGGGATGGACTGGGGCCAGTCCGGTTCTGGTTTGGGTCTGGGCCCGATCGGGCTTGGAAGGTTTTGAGTAAGGCCCGGAACTGGCCCGGGAGTCTATAGGTTCCGGGCCGGGCCGGTTCATTTTTGTGTGTGTTTTCTTATTTATTTCAAAACCCATCCCCCCATCCCCCCCAAACCCCTCGGAAACACCCAGCCCAACCCACCCAAACCCCCAAAAAAAAAGCCCGAACCGATTGGGCTAGTGATGGACCCGGGCCGGGTCGGGCCCGAGCTGAGCCAAGGCCCGGTCGGGCCTCGGGTCTGGTAGAGGTTGGCCCGGGACCGGCCCGGGCTATGGCCGGTTCCGGTTCGGGCCGAGCCACCCGGCCGGGTCATGGGTCGGGCCACCCGCCGGGCTGGGCCGGTTCATAATTTTTTTTTAAAATTATTATAGATTATACAAATTCCTATTAAAAACAAAGTTCAAGTGAATTTATTTGAAATAGGAACTACATTTGAGAATTGAGAAAAAAATAACAATACGAAATACATTTTCTAATAAATATCAATTGGGATTTCCGCCACCGTTGGTTGTTGTTTTCCCTTTGTCACAGGACTTCATATGTTTTATTGGCATCCCGTATCCGTGTGAACGCCCCAAGCTACACTCTTTCTTGCACCAGTTGCAAGTTGCCCACCACAGTCCGGTCTTCGGGTCCTTCCACTTATCAAAATTGTTTTGCATTAGGGAAGATGTACTTTCCATCTTTAAAATGGTATATGTATAAGTAGGAATGTAGGATAATAAGAGAAGATGAAGATGGAGAAGAGTTGGAGAAGAGGTGTAGAAAAATGTTAGAAAATAGATGTATTTATAGATGTTTTTGAACCTCACTCCCCACACCACCACCCCCGGGATCCCCTTGCCCCCCACCCAAAGCCCCAACGGTTATATAGCCGTTTGGGAGCTTTTCTTTTTTTTTTTTAAAAAAAAAAATTGAATCTTTTTTTTTAAGTTATACATATTGTAAAATAAGTTAATTAATTTAATGTTTTTTTTTTTTTGCAATTGAAGTGAATTTTATTGAAATAGTAAACAGTACAGGCTGAAAAGGAAATAAAAGAAACAAAGCAAAAAAGTACAGAGAAAAGAAAGCCCAAAATTACACCCAAAGAAATTCTCTATACTGAGATCTAGTCTTCATGCTGTGGCGCCTCTTATTCTTTTGAGATTTCCTGTATATTTTGATTTGCGTGTTTAAGTTATCCGTCGACAGACAATTTTCTGATATAACAAAACTGGATTTTTTGCAAATCGTTCTATTAATTCATTTAATTAATTTAATGAATTAAGTAAAGCTATTTGTACTTAGAAAAGTGGTTTGATTTATAATGTACAAATGTTACAAAATCGGTGTATAAGTATTTAAACAAATTACATATTGTAAATGTATTTATAATTTAAAAACCGCCTTTAGATTTTAGAAAAATAATTTTAAGTCGTAAGTTTGTAACCAATTAATTAATTTGAGAAGTGCTACATATGAAAAAATGAACGCATATTTATTTGAAATATGAAGTACAAGTTTACAAATTAATTTAAAGTACAACTACAAATTTACAATTATGAAATATGAAGTACAAGTACAAATTAATTTGACAAGTGCTACAAAATACATTTTATAATAAATTCTAAGATACTAATCAATCGGAATCTCCGGCATAGGTAGGTAGAGCCACCATCGGTTGTTGAGTCATCCATAAAATCTTGGGAGGGGGTGATGCTCATTTCTTGAGTTCTACGTGCGGCCTTCAACCAATCGTGGTAGCATATAAGCGTCTCAAGAGACTCCACGCTCAATCTCGATCTAGATGCCGTTAGGACGTTGCCGGCCGAACTAAATTCTTGTTCCACACCAACTGTTGAAACCGGCATTGATAGTACTTGCTTAGCCATCCGTGCTAAAATTGGGGACGTTCTTTCTTTTGACTTCCACCAGTTTAGAACGTCAAAGTCATCATTTTCTTCAAAATCAACTTCATATGTTAAATACAAAGTAATCTCATTCAATGCGCTTTGTTCAGTGACGTGAGTTGTTTTAGTTTTTTTCATAAGATTGCCAAATGCAGATTTAAAAATTGATTTTCCTTTAGATGAAGATGTTCGTGTCGGGGGAGGGGGAGCGTTGCTATATTGTGCACGAAACTCATTAAATAAGGCATAAAATAAAGCACTAACCTCGTTGTATTCCGTTTTCGGATCTATGGGGTTATCGTCATACATTGGAAATTCACCAAAAAAACAAGATAATAGAAGTTGAAACAATCTTCCAAATTAGCTAGTCTAAAACGAGGATCGAGAATAAATGCAATACCATAAATATGGGGAATATGTGCATAATATTTTAAAAACTTTTCCTTCATATAATCACAAAAATAACTCACGAAAACGGCATTCTCAAATTCTTTAAAAGCACTGGCGAGACTAACAACTTCACGAATAAATTGGTTTGCGGTAGGTTTATAAACATGACTAAAAGTTTCAGTTGCATTAAAAAATATATCAAAACATTACAAATTTTTTCGCAAGTGTCGATCTCAGCCGAGTTTATAATATAGTTATCATGTTGTTTTAAAAAAGCAGGAAAATGTTCTTTATATCTAAGAACAACTTTAAGTAATTTATAAAGTACTATTCCAACGCATACTCAAATCTTTAGGAAAAGCAACATATCTCACACCTCTTTCAGCCAAATAAGTTTGTCATTTTAATCTAAGTTGACCATTACCCCCAAATACGTCTAATCCCCCCTTGACTACCTCCATAGCATCTCCTAACGCTTTTAGACCGTCTTGCACACATAAATTTATAACATGGCATGCACAGCGTTGATGAAAAAATCTACCCATCAAAGTATTGGCACCACACAATTCACGCAATCTAGGTATAACAACAGTATTATTAGTAGCATTATCGAAACCAATAGCAAACACCTTATCAATCCAATTATACTCAATTAAAATACGCTCAATCAAAATATAAATATGTTCAGCGGTGTGACGATCATTAAATTCACGAAAAGCAAGAACACGTTTATGCATATTCCAATCCTCATCAATATAATGTGCAGTGAGACCCAAATAATATACATGATGAAAATCATCCTCCCATATGTCAGAACAAATAGTAACACGCCCATCAAAGTTTGCAAAAAAGTTTTGTAACCTTGCCTTTTCCGCATTATAAAGCCTTATAATTTCTTTCTTAACCGTTTTGCGACTATAACTTCTAAATTGAGGATTTAAACTACCTTGTGCATAATCTCTTAAAGCAAGACTTTCAGAAAACATATAAGGCAAATTTTCTTCACAAATTAAGTTAGCCATACCAGTCAAATTTTGTGCATCATTGCAGGAGAAATTACCAAAAGGTTGAGAATTCGCAAACCTCGTTATTTGAGTTTGCTTCCCCGTTCCGCCGCCTAATTTTGCATACTCCACGGGGTGCTTTGCCTTAAGATACCTTGCGGCGGATCCGTATCCGCCGGAGGTCCCCAAGCTATAATTGTTGTTGCACCACTTGCAAGTTGCGTGCCAATAGCCGGTTTGTGGGTCCTTCCACTTATCAAAATTATTTTTCATTAGTTCAGGTTTACTTTTTTTATTACCGGTGGCGATTTGGGATGAGGCAGGCTCGTCGGCGTCGTGGCTGCCGGCACCCTCCTCCTCGCCGTCTCCGGTTCCATTTCCTCCGCATCTTCATCCTCAAGCTCCTCTTCGTCAATGGTCTTCGGGATTTGTTGTTGTTGTAGAAAGCGGTTATTATGTCGGGCCAATTCTTGTTGTAGTTGTTCTTCGGACATCGCATCTCCATCTCTCCTTTGGTAACCCGTTTCAAAATCATCTCGGCTTTGAGATGAAGAGCCGGCAAGTTCTTTACCTTTGCGGGATTTCTTCCTCCCAATCTCGTTCCATCGATTGCGCTGGAGGTTACCCAAATCAACCGAATATCTATCACCTTCCATCTTAAAAATGTAACAAATATTAATTGGCAACAAATATAATAATGAATACAAAAGTAATGCAACTAATTAAAACTATTTTAATTAATACTTCAAACTAATTTAGTGCAAAGTAGAATTAATGTGTGACTCTAAAATTAAAATTATAGCAACTTTTCAAGTACTTTAATTTAGTAAAAACTACTTTAATAAAATGTTAAGTACTTTAATTAAATGATTGAACTACTATTTTTCGTTCAAATATAAATTGAAACTATTATAATGTGACTTTAACTATAATGACAATTAACTAGTTTTTTGAAGTAGAGTTGTTTTAGCAATTAATGGGAATACTAATTAACTAATTAACTAGTATAATGAAAAATGTAACAAGAATACTAATTAACTAATTAACTAGTATAATGAAAAATGTAACAAGAATACTAATGAACTAATTAACTAGTATAATGAAAAATGTAACTAGAATACTAATTAACTAATTAACTAGTATAATGTAACAAGAATAGTAATTAACTAATTAACTAGTATAATGAAACATGTAACAAGAATACTAATGAACTAATTAACTAGTATAATGAAAAATGTAACAATTAGTGGGAATACTAATTAACTAATCAAGTAAAGTTAATAAAAAATGTAACTAATAAGACAAATGTATGAATGCGTATAGTAATTAATGGGAGTAAATGAGTAATACAATGATTTTAAGTGATATTAATTAAAGTGTAACTAATATATAATATAATGTTTATAGTATATAATATATAAGTATACTACTACAAGATGAGTAATACACTTATATTTTATACTTTAATATATAAACTATATATTAAGTAGATCAGATGTAGAATGTATGTATTAAGTGGATATAATAATTGTATAAGAATTAAATATTAGAATATACTGGAGAATTGGAGATTGGAGATTAAGAAAATAAGTATATATGAAATATAAGTAGAGAAGTAGATATTATTATGTATTAAGTATATACTAATAGTTTATAAAGTATATTTAATACTTTAATATATAAAGTATATATTAAGTAGATGTAGTATGTATGTATGTATTAAGTAGATATAAGTAAAGATTAAGTAGATAAGAAATATAAGTAATATAGTATATGTATTTATAAGTAGATAATTAATATATAAGTAGATATAATAATTGTATAAGTATTAAATAGTAAAATAAAATATAATGGAGAATAAGAGAATTTGAGAAGATGAATATGGAGATGAGTAGAGAGTGGAGAGTAGGATTTAGGAAGAGTTGGAGAAGATGTGTGAAAAAATGTTTAAAATTAGGAGTATTTATAGTTTTTTTAACCCCACCCCCACCCCACCCCCCAAAAGCCCCGGACCCCCTGGTACCCACCCAACGGCTATATAGCCGTTTGGGAAGTGGGTCAACAGCCCAAAAGGGGTTTTAAAATTAAATGGATTTTTTTTTTTAAATTTGACCGTTAGGCCCGGGCCGCCAAAAACAAGCCTCGAGCCCGGACCCGCCACCTCCACCGCTTCGGTGCCCAAACCGGACCCGGACCCGAGAACCGGGCCGGTTCCGGGCCCGCACAGTAGCGGGCCGGTCCTGGGCCGGGCGGCCCGAACCGGGTCCATCACTAGACCGGGCTGGTTCGCCTTTTTTTTAGGACCCGGAACCGGCTACCCCCTCGGGCCGGGCCTAGGCCCGGAACCGGAACCGGTTTCCCGGGCCGGGCCCGGTTGGCCCGGAACCGGTCCACCCCTAATTACTAGAAAGTATAATACGAAGCACAATTGTTCAGTTGGTGGCCGCAACCTCACACACACTCAAACAATTTCAAGATCCCGATTGAAAACTACTTCGTATATAGTTGAAGTGCAATTGGACTGTATGATGAACTTAAATTGTAAAACTGATTGTGAGTTACTTAATACATCAATACAATATATTCTATCGGCACTTGCATTTGACATGTTTTAAACTCCTCTTATCGGAAAACCCTAATGTTGCCCAAATCCCAATAAGGTGACAACTATCCGAAGTGCATTTGAACTATATGATAAACTTGAAGTGTAAAATTGATAGTGAATTACTTAATATATTAATATAAAATATTCCATCCACACTTGTGTTTGACATGTTATAGGCCCCGCTTATAGAAATCCCCATTTTCACTCATAAGGTCACAACTATTTGAAATGCAATTGGACTATATGATGAACGTGAATTGTAAAATTGATAATAAGTAACCTAGTATATCAATACAATGTCAATATCCACACTTGTATTTGACATGTTTAGGCTCAATTCTTTGAAACCCCTAATTTCACTCAATAAGGTCACAACTATCCGAAATGCAATTGAATTATATGATGAATGCGAATTGTAAAATTAATAACGAATTTCTTAATATATAATTACAATATGAATATAATACACACACACTAGTTTTTGAAATGTTTTAGGCTCCACTCATAGTCTCATACAAAATCCTAATTCCACCTAATAAGGGCACAACTATTCAAAATGTAATTGGACTATATGGTGAGCTCGGTTTATAAAATTGATCATGAGTTACTTCATATATGAATGTAATATGAATATTTAGATGTGTGTTTGATACGTTTTTAGGCACTTCTCATAGAAAACCCTACTTCTATCTAATAAGGTAACGACTATCTGAAATACACATTTCAACATAATAGAACAAGTTCAAACTGGTTTAATAACACTGTAGAACAAACTCAAATGGGTTCAAACTCAATATAGTAAAATAAATTTAAGTCTTAGACGGTCGGAACAGGTCAATTCGAATAGAGTTTCAAACTCCATGAACGCATTCAAACACGGTAGAATAATATCAATCACGTTCAAACTCACCTTTGATTATGGTAAAAAAAAATACGGTCAAACTAGTTCAAATATGGTAGACCACGATCAAAGCATCAAACAAGTCCAAAGTCAGAACAAAAATGTAATTACCTTGATTTTGTTGTTTGGAGTATGATGATTCGACTTCTGAGGATCTTTTGCACGGTCGAATTTTCTTTCTTTGTTCTGCACGTGACTTTTTCAGAGAACATTTCGCCAGACAAATTTCTCCTAATTTGATCAGCATATTTTTAAATTTAGGCTTATCTAATTCAACCATAGGAATCGAAGAGTTCTTGACCTTCATGATGATTGAACATGGTGGGAAGCAGGATGAACACTTTAGAACGGAAGTTGAGTTTGAAGGTATTATTCGAATGAAGAGGAAGAGTGATACGTTCATATGAAGAAAGGTACCACGTTTGAATGTTTGAGCGAAGACATTGGACGGTTCGAAGGTGATATTCAAACTCTTAACTAAATGTTATAGGCTTTTATGTAATTTATATGTTTCTATTATTTAAAAAAGAAAAACGTGCAATTTGTTAAAATGAGTTTGAACAGGGGTATTCTGTAGGTCCGAGGCCTGTTCGGTTCTGGTTAAAATTCGATAGAACCGTATTAGAAATTGTAGGCGTTAAATTCGGTTCGGTTCTAATAAAAAATGTAGTTGTTAAATTGGGTTTGGTTCTTACCCTTTTCCGGTTCCTTATAAGAAAATTATTATCCCCTTAAATGAATACATTTTACCTTCAATTACATAAAAGTATTCAAATTTGAAATTATGAAAATCACTATTGAAGCTATGACCATTAAATTATACATACATGATATCCCAAAGTTTAAATTTCAAAAAAATATCCAAATGTAGACATTAAATTAAAACGTAAAGGTTTAGAATAGGCATCAACTGCTTAACAAAATGTTTAATAGTTCCAAGGTACACATCTAATAGCAGGTAGTTCAACCCCATAATAATATTCTTATATTAGTACTAGTTTTTAAACGCGCGTTGCGCGATTAGGTATTGTAATAATGCCCAATTTTTTTTAAGAATATGTATGTATGCGGTGTTTTTTAGTATCAACATGAAAATTTAGTAGTGACCAATCTAAAAAGTACTCTGTATTTGAGTGAAAGTACAATAGTGACCAGCCGGAAAAGTACTATGAACTTTTGTGGCAATTGTTGCATAGTTATGCAAATATGCAAAAGGCTGGGCGAAGAGAATTTAGCTCATAAAAATGATTACAACCTCCTTTAAGGGGGTTTTGGATATTCAAGCAGAGTTGGCCACATCGTATTTGTTGAATCGTACTGAACAATATAATTAACATTTGTGACATATTAGTGTTGAATTCACATTGACTATATAAGGTTGTTATAAATACTGAAGTAGCATTCTAGCTGAGTAAAGAAGTCAAACATTAGAGTAGAATTAACTCCGATAACATAAAGTTATTAAATTCAGAGTAACAGTCAAATAATATGGTTACCTTGCCATGGCTAAATATGTAAGAAGACTGAAGACTAAAGTAATAACGTAAAGTTGAGGCGTTTAAGGAGGGCTTGCACGGATTTTAAAAAAAGTGTTTTTTAGCTTTTGGCGTTGAAATGGTTTTTTTCAAGTGACACATTCTGCTTAAATTAAGTACACAAAAGTTAAAGCTGAAAACAGGTGGATCGGTGCTTTAACTACTTTTAACTTTTCTGTTACATTAAAAAATTATTTTTTACAAAACACTTCAGAATTTTACTTTTCCAAAAACATTTTTTTGTCAAACATTACTGTTAAGGATGTTTTTACTTGGACTGTAATTTGTCCCAGACCAGACCATACTTGGATAGTTATAAAAATACAAAGAAACCAGATCTTACCAGACCAGACCAGCAAATTACAGTCCAAGTAAAAACATCCTAAATACTTTCTCTAAAATTACTTTAAAAAATCACAAACATTTCCTTAATGAAGTAATATCTCACATATAGAGACCGTTTGATGATCCTGTTTTTGGCTTATCAGTTTATCAGACCAACAATATAATGAAATGACAAACCGAAGACACTCTTATGTATAGGGGAGATCATAACCGTTGTGTGTGGGTGGGTACATAAACGAATGAATGAATACCTGATGGAACATCTGAACTCATCCATTTACACTTGCAAGTTTCAAATGGGAGGTGTTAGATTTTCCCTTGCACCTCAAAGCTAAGCCAGATGTCACTACAAACCTGGATGAACAAAAACCAGGCTACAAACTGCCTTTCATAAGGCAGCCCTGGCAGTGTCTATTGACCAGCAGTTTTTAATAGTGACAAATAACAATATCTTTCCGGTTTATTTTGCTTCTTTTAATGTCTCTGGATGCTACTTCAGTTTTTTTACCTCCATTGAAGTATTCAGCACAACGTAGCATGGATTATATACATATAAAACTAACAATATCCACTCAGTCCCCTTTCTTCTATCTAAACATAAGTTAACCCTTACTACTAAAGACAAAAGAATATAAAATTAGTGGTTGTTTTAGTGAGGAAGAAATCAAGTTATTTGCCCATGTAACAAATATATCAGCTAGTCACAACATTGATGTGCTTGTTTTTCTTTGATATCTTAGTAAGTAAATAAAAAAAATTGCCATCCTCTTAGCATGGGAAGGAAACGTATAGGAGGGGAAAAGCAAATCCAAACAGATTTGTTTGGGAAGAAAACTACTTAATTATCATTAATCAAATCAAAGGACAAATTGTTAACAATACAACTCAGGGGAGAGATAACCAATTAAACACGGCTATCAGACATAAAACCAGCCGCTTTTGCTAACACATGTGCGGCTTCGTTCGTTGAGTGCCTAACCCAATTAAAAGAAATGTTAGAAAAACTCAAGCTAAATTCTCTAACGTTCTCAGTAATAATGCATCGAGGATAGGCTCGATCCATTCAAAATCTTCGGATGGCCAAGGATGAGTCTGATTCAACTTCCACGAAGTCCCATTTATTATTCTTCAACTAACCCAGAGCTTCGTGGATGCCTAAAAGTCCGGCCACTATAGGAGAACACCTGCCCTCCCAAGGCTTTGCTCCCCTGGCTAGAAACTCCCCCGCTTCATATCTGAGAATCCAGCCCAACCGGTAACATTTACCGCCACTAGAAGCATCAAATTAACCTTCTTCCATCCACTGGTCGGGCGCTTGTAGTGCGACACTCCCAACTGTGTTTTGGTCTCAGTACTACCGCTCTGAATCTGAAATTGAACCTAGCTCGCAGCAAAAGCTTTTGCCTTAAACATGAATTGAGCAGGCCTAAGCGATTCTCCTGCCAGAGTCTTTGATTCCATTCTATCCAAAGACCCCTGTATCCCAAAACTATGCCCTGTAATTCATCCCCCTTCCTGGCCAAAAAAACCAGCTGCAACCAATCAACAAAACTACTCACCGTTCAACCCAATTGATGCCAACCCATAGAAGAGCAAGCTTCCATTGCCACCAGAGCGGACAATTTTTATGCCACAGAAGACATCAATATTGAGGTTCTTAGATATTTAATGTTGCACTTGTTTCAAGTATTAATTGCCATGTTCTTAGAAATTTTTACATGTAGCTCTATTGAATTGATGTGTTTAGTAGTTTAAGTTATTCTGAAATTGAAATATTTTAAGGATTTAAACACTCTAAAAGTCATAACTATTAAACACTTAAATAGGACATTTGCGATGTGGATATATCTCCCTCAAATGTGAATCAGGTAAACTTATGTGGATATAGTTTAGGGTAATATTTAATTGAAATGTACAACTGTGGAAGTACTCTGTTAGGCATATAAACAAACAGTTAGCGGGCTTAGTTTGTAGTCAAATTGACAAACAAATTAAAATGCAATCCTCCCTAAACTCATTTCAGCTAAATATACTCCCATCTTTAATATAAACTTTGTGCTAATAAATGCCCGTAAGTGCATTTGAGCAAAAACAATGTATATGTAAAAGAATAAGAGATACAAGAATGGTTAGAAGCCTAACCTGAAAGAGAACAAGATAAACCAGTATAAGTAAGAACCTCTGCCAGTATAGCAATATGCATTTATAAGGGGAAGGAGGCGAAAGATTGAAGAAGAGAGCATCTTTTCTGTTTCGCATCAAATTAAATTTCCTTCTTGAATTAATAATCCATGAAAACGGAAATAGTGACTTACATCGGAGGATGCGAAGGAGGCGGTGCTTTTAAGGCGATGCGTGCGGCCGAACTGGCTCCAGGTGTGAAAGCCAAATGTTATACGGCTATACCCTGTTGAAAGAAAGGTGATACTAACGGGGCAGACGGTGTTCCTTACTGTAGGTGTATTAAGCTGGAATCATGTACAAGGAATTAATCATTTAGTACATGTCAACTTAGCTCTACAATACTACCAACATATTTTTAATACCTAAAATAGGTTTACCTTGATTCATGCTTATAATTTTGTAGAGATTGCACCGTAAGTTAAAAAGTACACAGTAATAACTGATCGGTAATATTAGTAATTTACTATAAACAAATAACAGTACAATCAGCAGCCACATTAATGCATTTTTAGGTGGATTCAAATAATAAATACAATTACAAACAAACAATAAATATAAAATAAATAAAGTAGTAAAATAAATACTACTCGGATTGGCCCGATCTGCACTGTATAGGTATATTATGCAAGACAAATAGTCTTGTCAAGAATTTATTGACCGGAAGTTTGTCTGGCCACCTCCATTTGAAGTGCTTCTGCGTAGAATTTTTTGATTAAATTTTGTGAGAATGTTGTACATGAATTATAAATTATATTCACCAAATTTAAGCTTAAAATTCAATCGGGAAGTGGGGTAAATAATTTTTTTTTGAAAGAGGGAGGCTTAAATTGAAATCAAAGCATTAACATTCGGAAAGGGACTAAAATGATATAGGAGCCACAGACAACCGTCAGTCCTCGAACCAGACTTAGAGTTGACCACCTTCAAACAAGCAATATAACTCGTTGATCCATTAATGAGCAAGCCTGAGCCACGGACGATTGAAACAGACCTAACATCACACAATGTTAATGCAAGAGTCTTACAATAAAAAATTAAAGCAACAAAACGTACAGTAAAAGGTCTGATTAAATAAAATAACAAGTTAACAACAAAAAAAAAAAAGAAAAAAAAAAGAAATTTCTCTCAAACTTCGAGTGCACCGCCACAACTCAACTATGATGCACCGATACTTCACCCCGATGCAGTATATGCGTATCCGATACGTATCTGATACCGATACTCACCGATACGCGTCCGGTACGTATTGGGTCCGTATCCGTAATTTAAAAAAAGTATCGGGCTTATTTTTAAAAATACCAATACTTCTGATACCTTTATCCGTGAACCGATACACGTATCTAACCCTATATCCCTCACTTCATACACAACATGATGAAAATTTAGTAGCCGCCCAAACAACCACAAGATGTAGAACATTGATGAAGATGATTTTGGGAGTATGGAAAATAATGGAATACTATAATTTGTCATTTTATCGCTTGATGAGCTTTAATTGAAACAAGACTTAGATGTAAATGCAAATAAAGAACAAAAAATATTATTTGAATTTAAATCGAAATATCAACATCTAGTTTTTTTAGCCTAATCTTTGAAACTTTATTATAATGAGTAATTTTTTGTACTATTATTATTTTATTTATGAACCTGTGAATTATATATATATTTGCAAATTATATCCTCTATTTTTATTATTTATAAATATACCTTGTACTCTGTATCCTGTAGTTTTTGAAATTGCCATTATCACCGTACTCGTATTCACTTGTATCAGTGCAACACGGGCCACAAGTCTGCAAACCTAGTCTTCCACAAAATTTCTGTCACATAGCTGAGTAAAAAAATTATGGTCCGCCGACTCCCCGTCATCAACAACAGACCCGTCGCTGGCTTTGACGCTGTTGTCGGTACTGAAGTCATAGACTGAAAGTCTGAAACCCATTTCGGAAGTCGCTGGAACCCAATGTAAGCCAACCTCAAGTTCGGGGATTCAGGGCGGGAGTACTCCAAGTGCGTACCTTAAAATTCAAAATTCGAATTGGTGTTAAACTTATCACACCAAAAACACGCGAAAATGCAAGGCAGCGAGAGCGAGAAAATCTTTGATTCCTACAACCTAAACCCGCAGCTATTCGTCAATGAAGTTATCGATTCCGTGAACACCATTGTAAATGAAGCTTTTGAGTTCTTTCTGCAGTACGAGCTCTCCTCTCTGTCTCCACTCAGTGCTATTTTCTTCTGTATATGGTACGGAGTAGTATCTATTGAAGAATGTTGTCTTTATATGTAGGGAAACAGCAAAAAATCTGCAAGTCGAGGGTACTGACCGATTTGAACCTCTAAAAAAGGTTCGCTTGATGTGTTAATTTGCAATATTAATTTTCAATTCGCAGTAAGCCCCCACATCAGAGTTTGTGGCTTATATTGTAACATGCTGAATTCTGGTCGTTCTTTGTTGTTTTTTCTTTCTGAAATGTTTCTTTTCCTCCTTTGAACAATTGATACTTGATAGTTCCCTTTTGCAGGGTGTAGAATATATACGGAACATTGTTCAGTCAAAGCTTGACAAGCGTCAGTATATGTGGGAGAAGTACTGTTTGAGCCAGTGCTTTGCTGTTCCACAAGGATTCTCTTTGCCTCAAGCGGTAGGTTATCACAATCGAATTTTTCTACAACCCTTTTGGGCTATCTCATACTTGAATTAGCTTACTTGTAAATCTTTTGCTTGTTTCATTTTTTTAATTCTTCAGATGTTGCTTTAATTGTCCATCAGGAAAGGACATATTTAGCTAAATCTAAGTTGTCATTAAGAATAAGAAGTGGTGGAATGAATAATTGACTTGGGATTGTGAACATTCCTGCTCTCTACTCTGTTACTATTGCCTTGTCTAATGTTTTTTAATGTTCTCATGCTTCAGAAAAATGAAAGTTTGCCATGGTTGAAAATGCTTGCCTATGATTTATTTGATATCTTCACCAGATATGGACTTTCTACATTTACTATCCTTTGTGCGGTTTATTTGATATCTTCACTCATGTGAAGATATCTTCAGAGTTTAGTATTTTCCTTCGCGGATGTGTCTTTATGAGTTGGAATCTACCTTGCCATTTACCAAATAGTTCATGTTCTTAATGGCTGAAAGTCTCCTTGGACATTGCTCTATAGGATAAACCATCTGTCGATACTTCCTCAGATCAGGACGCGGAACTGGATGCACAGTTGGATTCCTTGAGAAGCAAACTCGCTCAGGTGCTTGACTATACGATTTCTTAAGAGGATAAGGAACACTATGATTATTGTATTATTTATACATGGTAAATTGGTAACAATTATTGCTGCATATGTTATTTATGTTGTTTATCTGATCAGGTAGTTGAAGAGTCCACTGACCTCAATAAAGAACTTCAGGCATTGGAAATGCAGTCTAGTAAGAATAAACGCTCTGCAGCTTCTCTTAACGAAGTGATACAGTTCTGTGATGAACTGGGTTTCCATGAGAAGTTTTCAGGTAAACACTTATCTAATGGTCCTGTCTTCAGATGCTCTTAGAACATAACTCTTTTCTAAATTGGGATAACTGTTTTAGGAAAAGTCAGAGATCTTAGTTAGTTTGTATTTTCTTCATATTATGTTTCGCAATCCATCCCCAACTTTGTCAAATTTTCTGGAGGACTGGATTACTTTAAGGTTCATAAGACATAGATGGCCAGTGCATTCTGTAAGGGACCTTAGGGGCTGTTTACTTCTTTTATTCTAAGTCCGGGACTATGATGTCTATCTGAGTTAAGTGGTCATGTGTAATGGACTAATGGGTTGTTTTACTTAGTGTGTCAACTGCTAAATAAGTAGTCTGAGAATAGTAAAAGTTCTAACTTAAGGTTATTTATGTGTTGCCTCTTGTTAATGTTTAATCTTACATATTAGTTATTACCACACATATATTAAATCATAGGCTTCTTTAATAAAAACTGTCTGAATGAGCATCTTAATCGGAATGAGTAATATATTGGAGCTTAAATCATATATTGTGATTAAACGAACTCATATTTTTGGCCGAATGCATAAATCATTTTTTATTAAGTCAGTTTTTAAATGCTCTTAATGGTCATTGGTTGTATGAGCTCTTTAGCAGATTGCGAACCCAACTAGGAAGTAAAAATTTGTACTATAAATCATAAATTCGTGTTTTTCAGAGCTGGTAACAACTGCATCGGAGCTCCGATCATCCTTGGAGAAAAGGGTAACTCAAATGTCTACTGAGATTGAACACGAAAGAGCAGAGAAAATTCGCAAGTTGGATGATGATGATGATAAGCTTCGTCTGAATTATCATGGTTATGGTGACCATTCTGGCAAGTTATCTTCATTTTTCATTGGCTCATCGATATGCAATTTTTTTTTTTTTAAGCAGTCTAAGAATGTTCATTACTCATCGCCATTTACTTGTAGGTCTCTGTAATGTTAAACTTGAAGACCTTACACAATTTCTGGATGATGTGAAGACACCGAATGATCTTTAGCTCGTTCTGATTGTGAGCTAATGAATGATGCACAACTCTGTGTCAATGGCTACTCCCTATGAAGTCTCTCTCCAAATTTAGGCGGGTATTGGCATGTTAAGTGACCTGCTTCATTTTTGGCCGTGTACTCGTGGGTAAAAATATAGTGAAAATGTGGCACAATATGCAAACAAGAATGCTCTATTACTGATCCTGACGCGCATGTTTCTGAAACGTAAATTAAATCTAAAAAAAAAGAGCTGACCAAGCCTCCCTTTTGTTGAATCTTACCGGGGAAAGACATCTACTAATGTTGCTATTGATATAGGAGATGAAAAAATGATGACTATTGAGACTTGAGAGAAATAAATCTGTGTTGATGCAATGTATGTGTCAGGATAAGGTGAGACTAAAATAGATGTTCAAATATATATAGTATACTAGTATAGAAGTTCACAATGGGCTATGGGCCATGGCACAGATAATGGCCTATGGGCTATGGCACATGACTATGAGCCCATTTTGCAATATCGTGAAATTGGCTGAATATGTTGGTTCTATTGAAATTTATGAACTTTTGGCTGAAGTGGTTGATTTTGCTAATTTATGGGGGGAATCTAAGATATATTTTATTAATTAATGAAATAAATAAAAAATATATGAAAAAATAGCTAAAATGGTCACTTACAATAGTTTCAACCAATTCAGTCAGAAAAGTAATTTTCATCATATTTATTTTTATTATCACACAATTTAGTGTGCGAATTTAAAAATTACGTGTATGGTGAAACAATTGATTGATAAGATGAAAAACCAAGTCACCAAATAGGTTCTTTATATTTTTGTTATTCTCTTGTGTTGTTTACCTACACGTCAATATGGCGTTGAGCTATTTGGATGAGAGTAGCATACTGTGGATATATCCCATCAGCTAAATAATACCCCATGTTGTACTCATGACCTTGAATAGTGAATTTGCATGGTGGAGCAATACCATTAATTATATCATCAAATAATGGTGATCTATCTAAAACGGTAACATCATTGTTACTACCCGCCATTCCAAAAAAAGCATGCCAAATCCATAAATTTTGGGAAGCTACAACTTCTAGAATAAGAGTGGGAACTCTTTTAAAACCATTAGTATGCGTGCCATGCCAAGCAGTGGGACAATTTTTCCATTGCCAATGCATACAATCCAAGCTGCCCAGCATACCGGGAAATCCACGAGTCTCATTTTCCTCTAGGAGCACTCTAATATCATCCTTGTTTGGTTTTCTAAAATAATGCTCTTCATAGAGTCCTATAATAGCATCACAGAAATGCTTCAGGCTTTCAATCACAGTACTTTCTCCAATTTGAACATATTCATCAAGAAAATCAGCTGGACAACCATATGCGAGCATACGTATTGCTGCAACCATCTTCTGGAGGGGGCTCAACCCAATGTTTCCAACAGCATCAGTCTTTTGTTGAAAATATGTGTCATGGTTTTCAACATCTTGTAGTATTCTATTGAATAATAATTCAATATTCATTCTAAATCTACGACGAAAAAGTTCAGGGGTGTACTTTGAGTTTTCACCTTTGAAGTAGTCATTAACTATTATGTCATGGCGCTCTTTCCTATCACGGCGAATATAGCATCTACCTGATGATGTTGAGCTGTCAAGAGAAAACTTTGCAACAGTCAACATTGAAGAAACAATCAAGGGAGCATCCGAATGCTTATTTACGTCAAACAACAAATGTTTGGAAAGTGTAAGTTCACTATCACTGGAACATGAACTATTAGAGTCCGAATCAAAATTCGGAGAAGTCGTATCCATTAACTGCTTTTCTGTTCAAACAAAAAAGCAATCAACACCATAATTCTTACACGTACTAAAAAAATCGCATAATCTAAAACTAATAAAATAAAGATTATATATAAACAATTATACTGTATATACGAAGTATAATAATACACACGCATATTAATTTTTCTAAACTTAATACCCACTTCCTTTAAAAAACTTTAAAACCACTTTCCACAGCCCTCTTTCTTTAACGAAGGATTCAAACAAAAGTGGAATTTAATTTTTGTTTCATATTCTTTAAAGAACAAAACAAATACAACACGATCATATTCTTTATGATCAGATTTGTATAATCTAACGTGACCAAAACATAGAATTTGTAACGGATCGAGATTCGAGAGTAGGGCGAAACAAGATTTACCTGAGATCTACGTAGGAAGCTATTTTTTTAAAGCTGCGTAGAAGCTGTTAAAACAAAGAAAAGTAGTTTAGATTTATTTTAATGTAATATTTTCCACATGGGATCTGTCATGGACTCATGGGCCGAGAGTTTGTGATGCATTGTAGAGGTTTTTTAACTTTCACTTTCTGATCAAACCACTTTTCATTTCGTGGACTACATTTTTTAATTTTTTAATCTATAATTTTTTAATTTTTTAACTTTTCAAAACTTTTTATTTTTTACCGTTTTATATTATAATGTTTTGTCCATTCACGTAGGAGATGGTTTCCTCCGAAACACCCCGATTTGGGGGTTTTGAATGAGAGGAAGTTGGGGATTTTGAAAGCCTTCCAGTTTACTCTCCTCTCCCCTATTTCCTTCAACCAAACACACACAAATCTCTCACTTCCCTCCCTTCCGAAACCCTCCAACCAAACATGGCCTAAAGAATCTTGCTACTTGAATCATAGATTTCATGAGTAATTTTATTCTATAACAAAAAAATATGACTTTTATTGTATGGAGAACTTATTTATCACAAGCTAATTAATCTTAACCTCCTTTACTCATTAAGATTACATTCACACGAAACCATCTAAACTATATCAAAGGGTGTATAATAGTTAGCAATGGAGGAGCTTGGGAGGGGTATGAGGGGGCAGGCGCCCCCGCTTCGGGCAAATTTGTTAAGTACTACTAGTTATAATATATTTAATGTCTCTCCCTTTTCAAAAATAAATATCAATTAAGGATAATCTTAGATTAAGTGTTAAAACAAAATGTATGTGTCTATAGGAATACAAGTATTGGCTCCAACATATCACACTCATTTGAATGCAAGTGTAGATTGTTTTAGACATTTAATGACACACGGGTTGACTTTTCATGATTATAGTGAGCAAGAAATTGTTGAGTTTGACGAACATGTTGTCACATTTCTTGTAACAAAAAGATCAAAACATTCTCGAGACAATGGTGGATTCCCTCCTTAGTGGAGAAGTTCATGAGAATTTTAGAATTTTTAGAGATGTCCAAAATTCTATATATGTGTGTAGAGAAGTCAGAAGTATTGAATGTTTTATAAAACTAATGTGGAGTTTTCAAGTGTAGAACTCACTAAAATCGTATGGAAGCCCTAGAACATTTTGAAGAATTATGGGGTTTTTTAAATCCTTCCGAAAGATAAGAGGAGCTTGTGGATACTTTTTGAAAAACCTAGATGTGTAGTGGTGTATAAAAAATTCTAGAGAAGCTTCCCATTTATATGAGAACTTTGAGGAGAGCTCTTGAGTGAGTGAAAGTGAGAGTCTCCTTGAAAGAGGAGAGTGAGAGCCTTCTTGTGAGTGAAGAAGACTCAAAGATATCGTTTGATGAAGTGTATATGATCAAGTTAGGTACAATGAAGTATTCTCATATGCAAAAAGTGGGTGAGGGTAATACAAAGTGATATTGTCAGATTGGGTTTTTGTATAATGAGAATGTGGATTATAAGTGTATAAGAGACTATGAGCTCGTGATTCTGGAAAAGGATGAGGGTCGTGTTTTTCCAACATAAAGTTATTATACAACATTTTGAACAAAATAAAACTCGTATAATTTATCTACTGAGATTAAGATATGACTCAAGCAGTATGTAATGAACTAATTTGTGCTAATGTGTTACGCTTTTATTGTTTTTATTGTATTTTGAGCAAACACACAATTTTTTTGGCCTTCAGTACGCCCCCGCTTCGAAAAATCTCTGGCCCCTTCCACTGCCAAAACTGATAGCCGCGGCCCGCGGGTCATCATTTTGTGTTGGTTAGCCATGGTTCATTCAAGCAAACATAAAGTGCAAAAAGTTCACAAGATAAGAAATGGAGACATTGCCACACCGACTCTTTGAACTTTCCTATTTTCTTCTTCTTTTGCGGACCATCATTCTTCCCCACGACCATCTTTCTGCCTATTCTCTGCCATGAGTGCCATCATATTATGTAAAGCTTTGGACTACTATTCACTTAGGACGGATTGGAAGTCCATGACTTAAGTATGTTGAAGCATTTGTCCCATATCAGAAAGCTTTAAAATAATTAAACACTATATAAGGCTTTGGGCTACTCCTCATATCAGGTTGACCTAAACTTAGGATGAAACCCCGAGTTTTAACAAAATATTATAACCATTTAACTATTTAAGAACAAAATCACACTTTCAGAACAAAAATTCTGAAAAAAAATATACGTAGTATTATATATATGGTGTGCAGGAATGGTACTCTATACCTAGAAACATACTACCTCCGTTCTCTTTTAATTGCAACATTAGACTTTTTGCACTATTCACATATTCTACTTTGACTATATTTTATTTATTAATGTATTATAAATTAATGTTTTAAAAAATATTATTAAATTATATTCATTCTAAATTTTCAAAATATGAATTTTTTAAATTTTTTACTAATAAGGAACGAAAGATATTAATGGTCAAACTTGTGCATTGGCAAACGTGAAATGTTGACTGTTGTAATTAAAAGGGAACGGAGGAAGTATGTCCAGAAAGAAGCGTAGCGAGGGGAAGTATAGGGGAGAAATATAAAATCCTGGTAATTTGGGTAGGAGGATTCCATGTCCTAATTATTATGAAGATAATTAATTAATACGAGTAGCATTTTTACATACGGAGTACATAACTTTTATACACGCAGAGATAGGTGGGAAATTCAATTTTGGTTGACAGATTAAATTATTATTATATTACTCTATGTTGAGGATCGATTCTGTCGACGTATTCCGGCTCAGGCAGTCCGGAGCTCGGTTTTCCGGTTGTCTCTTGTGCACACCTAGGCTAAGGGAGCAACACACCTTTCTAACCTCGCCAACACTCACCTCACCAAGAACCGAGAGTCTTTCTTCTTCCTTCCTCTTTGTGAGTTGAGAGAGAGTTTCTTCCTTCCTCTTTGTGAGTTGAGAGAGAGTTGAGAGCTAAACTTGGTGAGTGGTGGAGTGGCTAAACAATCCTGGGATGGTGTGTGTGACTTGTTCTGGTTGGAGACCTGAGCTGAAATACACACCCGACACTCTACTCCGTATATTACAAAGAAGATTGAGATAAGGGCTTTTTCCCTCAATATTATTAAATTAAAGCCGATTTCTGTGATCATCTTTTTAAACAGACAAAAATGTGACTAAGAAGGTCACATATTTGGAAATACATTATACGGAGTATCGCTGTATTTTTATGTCACTGCCATAATTTTATGTCACTATCAAACGTCACTGTGACCACCGTCTATGTCACTGTGCCGCCGCTCATGTCACTGCCGCCACCGCTCGTGTCACTGTCGCCACCGCACGTGTCACTGACACCACTGTCGGAAAATCTT